AAACTGTGGCATCCTTATCCCATGTCTTCCCCTATGTTTCTCAAAAAAAAATAACCGGAAAGAAAAATTGTACGAAAATCCCAAGTGCCAATTGCCACATTGTCTTCAGACTTTAAGAGTGCTTTCTTGCCTCTCAACATCTTGTGTTTCGCATTCAGTATAAGTTTGTCTTCGAAAAACAGAGATATAAACTCGGTGCTGACCAACCAATTTCGAGATGCGCCATGCATTCCACTTTTACTCAGAATCGTAGTGGCTCTTGAATGCGTTTTTTGCAAGTTCAATAACTTTTTACTCGCGCCACCCAACAAACAAATCACTCAAATCGACTTCCCTAGAGGGAATGCTTGGTTGGTCTTCGGGGGATCTCATCTGAAATTCAAATTCCCGAACGAGTTGTTCAATAGCACAGCCACTGTATAGTTCCGCACTACTGAAGACATCTCGTCATTTCCCGCAATTCTGAAGGAAGAGCACTGACAAGAGGCGGCGTAACCACAGGCCCGGTTCGTTCCAATTCTGCTCAAGGGCCCTATGCTATCCTTCTCCCAGTGAGATGGGGACGAGAATGCCTTTAACACATTGCGGACCGCCGTTGTATGAGTACCTTCGTATATTTTTATATTTTTCAAAAATGTATCATCATTAATCTATCAACAATTTTATCAGTGATGACACGTATGGTTTCCCGGCTCTGAAAATGAGTGCAAACAGTTCAGAGCATTGAAAAATGTCAAATAAATCAGATAAAACTAGACTGTTTCGTGCGAAATCGTGGTACGCAATGTGTTAAACTGACATCATCTCCACAAGAAGTATCCTGAGGAAGCGTGTAAAAAACTCGTGTACGTTAAAGCCGCTTAAGGTGACGAACTATTTCAGAAATACCAAGAAAATTCAAAAGGATCCTCGTTTCCCTCTACCTGGGGGAGGATAGCTTATGGTTTGCGGGCACCCAAACCGTCAAAACCACACAGCAAACGATCACTACGTTTCGTGGACGATAAAATACTGACATCACATAAGTTGGTCGCCACGATGCATATGTAGGATCAAGAATTCATCCACAAGCAGCAAAGAGGTTAATGGGTGCCAAAATTCCATCGGTCAATCTTTCTAGAACTTTGACCACGGACGTCAGTTAGTTAAAAGGGTGTTTACCACAAGGAAGGGGCCCTCTTACAACTACATCTCTCTTCAGAGAGAAGAGTGGAGGCGACGCACACCGCTCCACAGACATTCTACAAATACTCAGAACGCACCTGCCTCGTGATTTGTGGCATCCTCACGAACATGGAGAATTCGCAGTAGCATGATATTCTGTAAGCACATCGTTTCAAAAGTGTGCATAAGGTCAGATAGATGTGCAAATGAAGCAACAGAACGCACCCGTAAGACAGTGTGTTGCATCTATTATGACGCAAATAAACCAGTGATACGATGAAAAATAACACACCTACGAAGTGCTTGGCAAAGATGATATAGTATTGAACAGAAAATAAATATCTGAAACTGAATTAAAAAGTCCAAGGCAATTTGCAATGGGTTGCATATAATGTACCGTTGGCTCCATACTTTTTGAGCAGGTCTTGAATAGAAGAGTTGTGAGACATCTGGGGGGGGGTGAGCTAGGCATGTAAAGGGGAAGCAGTAACGCCAGGCTCAACCCTTCTCGACCTCTTCCCTCCGCCCCCCCCCGCCCTCCCACCACCCTAAATCTGAAGTTTTTTTCAAGATACAGACGGACTGAATGAAAGCTCCCATCTGAAGGAATGCTGAGTACGCGTTGTAATGAAACATTGATCACAATGTGCCAGGTCTACCTTTTCGAGAAAAAAGTTGAGGAACTAGATGGATTGTAGCTCTGCAAGGAAATGGGATAACAAACAAGAATGGTAGAAACTTACCCAGAGGTAGCCTTCACGGCAGTTCGGTTTAACATAGGCCAGATGGAAGAATAACGTTTTCCATTTGATGTAGTTCCGCACGACAGCTTGTCCTCCGCTGGTCTCGAGATATTCAAGGAGTATCTGCGAAAGCTTGATGAGCCATTCTCGACCGGTTTTCAAAGCGATTTTTTCATTAGCGTGTAGCTCCTCTCCAATCAATGACGAAAGAAATAACCGCCAATTCAACTGGAAATTGCAAATTACGGAAGGAATTCGTGACCTGAAGAGCTAAAGTGAACAATATACTAACTGCTGGAACTATTGTCTGCAATTCGGCCAAGGAGATCACCTCATAGCGCTCCTTTTTGTGCTTGTAAAACTGAAAGTAACATGATTATCGGCAGAGTCATGGGGCACTGTTTTCAATTGCCAGAGTACGTTTTGCACCTGTACGCTTGGCCCGAGCAAGCCTTGGTCCTAACAATTATAAAGGCTAGCAATTTTAGAGCTAGTCGCTAGGATCCTATCGGATTCTCCACAACTAATTTTCATCTTCAACATTTCAGAACTTTTTGATTTATATGAACTGAGCGAAGAGCTAATTCTAGACCGCAGTGATCGCTGCTACATGCGAGATCTTAGGAAGAACAAGGTTCCGAGGGACAAGCTTCCATCTGTGCGAGGCTTCAAAAGTATATTTTGGTAAGACGTTAATCACGGAGAAATGAATATTCCTTGTCACTGGCCTCCCATATGGCTCGATTTGTAAGCTGGAGGCCTTTTCGAATACTGAGTACTTGTTTTTGTTTGTTAACTGCTGTTTTTGGCCGCAGTTCGCCTTGCGAATGTTTCACAAGAATGCTGGGTTGTGAACAAAACTTTCGCCCCAGGCGGGACTCGAACCCGCACCTCTCGCTTTCCGGGCAAGTGCGCTACCAGTTACGCTACCGGGGCACCATTTCATTCCAACTCAGCTTTTCATGGTATACTTACCATAGCTTGTCAGCACTCATAACCAACGTAACTGGTAGCGCACTTGCCCGGAAAACGAGGGGTGCGGGTTCGAATCCCGTCTGGGGCGAAAGTTTTGTTCACAACCCAGCATTCTTGTGAAACTACCAGTACTGTTTCAATGAAATCATAAGGTTGATCATAAGTATGAGGGTTGTTCTTTCAAGAAAGGCCGAGAAAATGAAAGGATCTAGTAAGAACGAGAAAAAACACCTTGGTTCTGAAAAAGAATTCATCCACTCACCCTACTGCCACTAACGGTTATCCTCCATTCCAGTTCAATCATCCTTGCGAATCATTGTCCGCACGGCTGGATCGGTGCGATCAAAGCCGAGCAGCACGGCCATCTCTTCGCCAGTCTCTTGAAGCAATGAAGTCGCCTGTACAAACTGATTTCAGTAGTTATTCAGA